TCGCATTAGCATTATTAGCATTAGCATTCGCCCAGTGCACAAACGCAGAGAGACTAACTTATGGCAACACAAAATAAAACATGGGAGCGGTGGAGATGAGGAGCTGTCGGCGTTCTGGCGATTTACTCAGAAGGCTTCAGTAGAAGCTGCTGGGAGTCCCAGCAGCTTCTACTGAAGCCAGTCCCCAACTCCGGGGACTTCCGGCCGGGGACTCCGGGGTGGCAGTATACACCGTGAAGTGGTTTGCGGCCTGCCAGTAAACCCAAAGCAGAAGAAGACGAAGTGACGTCAGCGGCTCATTTGCGTAATCTTCCCTCAGGGAATTTATTCCGGTGTGAACGCGATCTGTACTGAGTGCCCTGGGACTGAGTGCCGGCACTGAGTACGGCAAAGTACTTGGTGTGAACGCGGCTATTGGTGCTCTAGGAGGAGATGCAGGTGATAAGGTGGGGGGGGGGGGGGGGGGGGTTACCTTGGTTGGTTATTGGCTAATCATTACAAAAGCCAAAAAATCGGTTATGACATCATAAAGTGGCCAAATCTGATCAGCTCATTTTCAGACAGGTTTTTATATAAATGGATCAGGACAAAAAGTGAGCGAATCTTTTTTCCTGAAACATTCAGAATCTCTTTATACAGAGGGGACACATGTTTATGTATAAAAGACATAAAAAGTGGATTTTGCATAATAGGTGACCTTTAAAGCTGAAGGAACCGGTTTCAAATGTGCATTAATCATATAAAAGCTACTCATGGGTGAACATTTTAAGAGCTAATATGTCCTTTATTATATTTTTACAGGCAATGCGTATGCAGACAGAGATGGAGCTGAGGATGTTCAAGCAGAACCAGTATGTCTACCACAGTATGAGAGAGGCAGCACTGAAGAACAAACCGATGACCATGATGCATGAACCCAGGAATATGGAGGAGGGAATCAAGAACCTCTACCACCGGAGGAAGTGATTAAGCAGATGAATGAAAAACACCCCACTGTTTACCGTTACGTTTTCTGAGTGTCAGTGTGTGAGTCTACACGTTTAGTCACATGATCATTTTCTGTTTCACTCAATTTTGTAGTTACGCTTTTCATTAAAAAGATGTCACGTCGAACTTGTGTAGTATTTTTCTTGTCTGATATCATTTCAGTACTCTTCCCTCTCAAAATAAACAAAGCTGGTTATACATTTGGCACTTTGCTTAACCAAGACATCTCAAAAAACATCCTACTCAATGTATAACAAATATTCTACTCCCCTAAGGAAAGAAACCGAGTCAATCACATTTTATTATTTGATTATTCTCTTCAAATAACAGGAACTTACATTTCAGTCTAACATTCTTAATATTAAACATCAAACATAGCCTTTATACAAATGACAGTTGTTTCAAGTTAGGCTAATGGTTCATATCAGTAAGGTTCCCCACACATTTATTTGTGTTAATGTAGGCCCTGTGGAACGTTTCCTCATAAAGCCATTAATACTTTAGCCCTGCTTTCTGAGAGTAGATACATCTTAACCAGGTTTCAGCAGGCCCACTCAAGCCTTGGCAATGCAATATCTTGGTTGAGGGTTATGTACAAGAACAGGTAATACACTGTGGAAATATATTACCAGTATGTCAAACTTTAAGTCTGAGTTTAGGCAAAGCTGTAGACCAGCCTAATCACCCAAAATGCCACAAGTCTTTTAATTATTACCATGGACACAATTAAGGTTTTATTGAGATATGTAATACGTTTCTTCAGTTTCAAGATTTTCAATGCAAAACAAGTGATCGACATTCTGTAGATTCTCTACACTCTTGTTGTGAAGAATACCAGTGGTGACCATTTTTAAATGCACTTTGCCCAGGGAAGATACAGTATGGATGTTACGTCATAGCCCTGTTTGAGAAAGATTGCATGTTTGCACAAAGTGGGCAGATTCCTTCATCATTTACTGCAAGAAAAATGAAATGTATATCTAAATTTAAAAGGGCGATAATGGGAAATGAAACACTTCCACTACATACAAATTGAAAAAAAAGCAGAACAGGCTGAAAATATTTGTACAGATTTGAAATATGTTCTGGATTGAGCTTTGAGAAGCCAGTAACAGTGCAAACTGGTTAATGCCAGTGTTTGACAACTAAGGCCTCAGAAATACTTAGCCCTTTGTAGCCTCTGAGTTATCTATGGCTTCAGACAGCTGCTGGATTAAGTCATAGCTAAGGCGGTGACCCAACTCTATGTGCAGCTCAAAACACTGTTATCTTTAGCCGGTCAGACTCCCCCTGCACTTTGATCAGCTTCTACTGCATGGCTTTGCCCGATCAATATTTATCTTGTGATCTTTTTAGCTTTCCACTTTAGTTTTTTGAATTGGCCCCATGACTGACAATTTCCTTTTTACTGCAACTGTGAAACGCAAACATGAGCCAGATGCAGAAGTGAACATTTGTCAGATTTCTTACTAACACAAAGGCATTACTGTAGGTTCTCTTAGCACATTAGTCTCAAAATGTAATTTGATTCAGTAAAACTAAGCAGGCCGTCGAAGTGACATTTAGAAAGTTGTATGCCCCAAACACATGAAAAAAAGTTTATGACTGTTAGTTGTTGTTACCCTTTGGAAATTACTCATGACCTGCATCATCAAACTCAACATTTAGGGGAATTTTAGGTTAAATAAAGCAAGACAGCTGTGCCTTTTTTTACAACATTTTATTATTCCAAAGTACAAACATTTATATGCGTTTAATCGTCCTCTTGTACACGATGCCGGCAACTGTCATAGTCTGGAGGAAGGGAGAAAACAAAGAGAAAGAGTCCCATTTAAAAACAAGGGTCATTGAATACTGATGCTAAAATGTGGCATCTTTGTCTACTCACATTGAGAATAGTGTTCGCATCCACCATTTCTGTGATAGACTCGATTCCCTTCAGGCAGACTTTCAGCTTGTTGCCTTCACGATGAACCACCGACTTTAAAAAAAGCATAATGCAATAAGTTTCAATCCGAGATGCTTACACAAATCAAGAGTTAATGACATTAATCTGCCATTATCTCATTGAAGATGCATTTAGGTGTCCTGTCTTACCTTGACCTTCTCCCCAGTGACTGTCTCCAGCTCTGCCTCCTTCCCAATAGTGAAGGAATTGACGAGGACCTTGGTGCCCGTGGTGACTGTCACTTTAAAGTGGTCCCCATTCTCCTCAATCTCAGAGATGCTCTTGATGTCTTTGCCTTTCTGGATGAGTTCATCAGAGAGCCCTAAGAAAGAAAAGCAATAGTTTTATAAACACAACATTAACAATAACTTGATTTGCCCAGTTTCATAATCACAGTGTTAAAACATTGTGAAAGAAAGTGGGGATCTCACCAATGGCCTTCATGAAAGGCTCAAAGTTCTCCTGAGACTCCAGCTGGTACCTTCCAGAGAAAGACATGGTGACAGACAGTGATGGTAAGAAGAAGCAGTAGTTTGTTGCCTACTTTATACTCTCAAACTTCAGCGTGCAATCATTAACTCCATGGAGTCTATAATAAAGGCAACTTAGCCCTCCTAAAGATTCACCACCACAGATAAGTACTGACAGAGAGATAGAGAAGTACATGGTGTGACTGAAGCTAGGTCATCCTTAGTGCAGCCGAGAAGATAGTGAACTGTGTATGCAATGTTTTGAAGTCAAAATGCCTGCGTAGTAAAATAATGTAATGATATAATTCTAAGTGACTCTAACATATGATGGCATGTATGGTACCCCTGATAACTGCTGACAGGACATAATGTTACTGTCAGGGTTCAGATTGCTGCGTTCTTCTTCCATCCTCCACTTGTTGTTCCTTCTTTTCAACACTTTCTCTCAGTCTTTTCTCCCTTTTGTCTTCACTTGCAATCCTTTCATGTCTTCCCTTCTCTCCTTTGTTCTGCAAGACGATTTGCACAGTTTTTCCAGTCCTTTTTTATTGCAAATCTATGAATCTTATAGAAAATATGTTATCCTAAATGTCATTGGTAAAATATACTAGTTAGTTTGCATGCATGCAATTAAAACATGCCAGGGAAAACAGTTCCCTTAACAGATCATGCCAAAAGAAGAAATTATTAAACCTTCAAAAGATGACAATCAACATAACAGGCTCCTCAGTTTAGGTTAACAATAAATTAAAGTAACTTCTCAGCATAGTTTTCATGTAATAGTATTTCTGTTCTAATATAGATATGAAAAATGCAGAAAAAGTATCATATAATATAATATATATTTTCAGTTGTATTGATGGCTGGTATAAAACCCGCCTGGGGTTCATAGTGGTGTCAACAGTGTGAACTGTACTCTACAAATGATTACAAAGGTACTTTGGTACTCAGTAACGAGGTCACGATTCAAGATAAGATTCCTGAAATAAAAGATCTCTCACATAGCTGACAATTAAACAAAATATCAATCATCTAATCATTTGTCATTAGTGTTTCAGAGGGAACTCTTCAATTTAACAATTTAAATGTGTTTGCCATTTAATGTACATCAAAAAAACAGCTTATGTTTAAAAACAAAGCTGACAGAAATTGATCAAAGGTGACGAACAAACGAGATAACTCTGTTGCAACAGTGATATGTCACTGGAGTTGTCATGATACACACACACACACACACACACACACACACACACACACACACACACACACACACACACACACACACACACACACACACACACACACACACACACACACACACCACACACACACACACACACACACACACACAGTCATGTGAGAATCCTGTGGACTCACACTTTAACAGGATTATGCAAAGCCGAAAATGTGAAAAGATAAAGACGGCTGCAGGCTTTGAGCGTTTGGTGATAGTGGTGTTGCATTGCAGCCTGATAAGCTTTCTGCTGACTTGTTCTTTACTGAATGGAATGATTTTGAGTGTTTCATTCTATCCTTATCTGGAGCTAAGTTTTCCACATTCAGGTGCCTCTAAAATAAAGAGAAACAACGTTTTATACTTTCTCAAAACTTTATTTCAACATGCAAGTATCTGGATGACCACTGTCAGTTTTCATCCCTATTTTCATACATAAAAATATAGTGACAAAGGCACTCTACAGACATACTCCAGGGGAAAGAGCAAAATGACAAACAGAACTACAACTTTGAACTACAACAACAAGTCCCATTTCCCGTGAGGCTTGGGTGTCAGGAGCAGCTCATTGGTGAACTCGATGAGAAGTGTGACCGGCCAGATGCAGCAGCCTGAGGAAGAGGTCAGTGGGGTCGCTGCCTTCGAACTGGCTGCTTTGGTCGTCTCCTTCCTCCTCCATGAGGCACGATTGGTCTGTGGTGCAGCTCTCTGTGGCAGGGTTTGGAAATAACGAAATAAAGAAGGAGTTATCACTGAGAACATGGTGGTCTGTTGTTGCAAATATATACACTTATAATATGCTGTTATCAGGTTTTATGACCCGGGACCATAACCCTTTTCAGAACAAAAGGGCAGATGATTGTAAAAAAGTCACAATGATTAAGTTAGCCGACCTCAAATGCAACTACACTATGCTGCCAATTTAAACACATTTGCAGATGTGTTACAATGTACCTTAATAGCTCAAGTATGTAACACAATAGAAAAATACTAGAAAATCAATGGACAATATTCAGGTATTTCAATGTAATGCTACTTTGTACACCTTACTTATTCAATTTTTTAAATATGAACAGGGCATTAAATACATTGTTACGCAATAAATCCCCACCTAAAACCATATGAAACAACTAGAATCAGCTCCGTTTTGGTCAACTACACTAAGAAAACTGAAACGTTGACTTTAATTAAATGTATGATGTCAACAAATTTCACATAACTGTATTAAGTTAGTTGAAATAAATTATATTAAGTTGAACCATATATATATATTTTAAACCTAATATTATTAATTTCAACTAACGTAATAGAGTTATGTGAAATCTGCTGACACAATCATTTAATTAAAGTCAACATCTTTTTCAGTGACCATTTAAATGCTGTAACATACTGTATTAATACAATATAACAGATTCTCGGACCCACTTCGCATACTGGTACTTTTACTTACATTTTTTTAATAAATATTGCTGATAATATTTTTTTCAGTTTAGCTTACATTTTGAAAGCAGGACTATGCTACTTTTACTCAAGTCAAGCATCTGATAGTTTCTTTCACTGTCTGAACACACTCTACAGGACATCCTGACCTGCATCACAGCAGATTCCTGAAGCAGCGCAGCGTCCTCCCTCAGATCCACAGGGTCTACCTCCCGCCTGGCAGGGGGTCAGCAGGTAGTTCTCCTCCACACAGTGAGCTGTCTCCGGGGACCCCAGCAGGCAGCCCAGGCCCTCCCCGCAGCAGATGCTGGGGCCGAAGCAGCGGCCCCTGTCTCCGGGGCCACAAGACATGCACTGGGGAAGGAAACGCTATTATTATTGCCCTTATTTATCATGTATGTCAAATAAATGTATTACTGTGCAGAGCATATTTATCATGGGATTATGTGTCAAAGAATCTCTAAAGAAAAATTCAATGTGTTTGAGAAGCTCAGCTCTTTTATGTAAGATTCAAATAAAAACATTTATTTGAGATATTTTGCCAAGTAGCCAAGTAGGATTCATTAAGTGTAATTTTCCTGAAGTTATTTTTTTCAAAATCATTGCATTACTGTCTGTCCTGGAAATGGGAAATTGGATCTCACGGTTAAAGGTTGAAACTAATTGTGAGGAGAGAAGGGGTTTTATTGTACAGATAACACCATTTTAAGTGTGACTTTCGGCTGTGTGAATAAAATGTACTTGACTTAAAAAGAAAAACTACATCTTATAATCTAATGTTATTAAATCAGTAAAAACAGCTCACCTTTCGCTGCGGTGCGTCCATGATGGACCTCTTCCCACCGATAGGACAGTTGGAGATGTAACACGCCGAACATACAGACAGGAGGAAGAGTAGGCACATGGACACTGCGGCTCCAGTCATTTCTGCTGAGAGAGACAAACATTAGGAAAAACTGGTTTATACGGAAATAAACCAAACAAAAAGTCCACTGACCACAAATATAAGTTAGAAATCTACTAATCTGCATAAATAAAAGCATACTTATTTCTCAGTTTCTTGAGGAAGAGAAGATTTGAAGAGTTGGTTTCAGATGCTTCTGGATGCTTCTTCTGTTCTCGGTGCCCTCGGACATGTCTTATATACTTTCAGAGCTTTTTCTGAGAGTGACACAGAGACCTAACAGCCACTTAGAGATCCTTAATGAGCCCATTTGAGTTACTATCACCTCCGGAAATAAAGCTGACCACTGTGCAGGCCGGGTCAAAAGGGCCACGCAGTTCTGTGGCCTCGTTTGCTTCTTGCTGTTGAGAATCATTACAGAGGGGCTTGTGGTGCGTGACCGTGCATGATAGAGATGACAGGAGAGTCAGAGAGGTCAGGAAATGAGTAGGGAGATGGAATTATTAAAAGCATTAATGGACAAGAGAGTATAGTCCAACTTCTGATCTGCTTGTTTTAAAAAAAGGATTTATATTAAGGATTCTATTGTAATGGGTGTATTTTACGGGGCAGATGGGGCAAAGTGAAAAAAGCTGGTTTTCAAATGTCAGAAGAAGTTTTTCTTTGATCCTCGGACCTCGGCCTTCTGAGAGCGGCCATGTTTGCTCAGGGCTGAGATTTTGGTTTGTTTGTTAACAGACACAATGATTAAATGAAAGACATAGGCCTACACACACCTACAAATATTCTTTTTTATTAAAAGAATCTTCATTTTTCACGGGAATTGACGCACACATTGTCCAGGTCTGAGGTTAATTGGTCTCATGAGCTAATTAAGACGGCTAATGATCGGACACAACCCATAAAAGACAGTTTCACCGTTTCAATGATATGAGCTCAATTACTGCTGCTCTCTCCTTATCTGCTAACTGCCACCTCATCTCAATTAAAAAATAAATTGAAAAACTTGTCCTTGTTCTCCAACTTCTGTGCTAAAACGGGGATTGGGACTTTGAGTCGTTATTTAGATTCCACCCAAACTGATAGATGGCAAAACTTAACTATAGTCACCATGTGAAGACAATCTGTTGACAAGTTTGACAATGGCACACTCTTGCCTCCTAGTGGTTGTGTTATCACATTTAACCAATGCGTTCATGTTTCATTGTCTTTCATTGCAGGGGGTAGACAAAATATCAGACAAAAGAAACATAAAATAATAAATATAAAAAGAAGAAAGACCCGAAACATTGAACATCCAAAGTTTCACGGAGATAGTGTTGTTTACTGGGTGGCGTTATTGTACAAGTGTTTTTGCTGTATAGCAAGGCCCTGTATGATATGCACCTAACTAACTATAAACTGTATGAGTTGGAATATAAAAGATTTAAAACATATTTAACTGAAACACTTTAAGTGCTTATATTTTAAGATTGAATCCTTGGAGAGAAAGAGCTGGTTTACCCGGCTGAGATCCTCCTGTCACTTCACAGCAGTTGAACATTCAAACTGCATTGGTTTTTTTGTGCAACATCAAATCTCACCATTTCTCCAAAAGCTGAGCAAATCCCTATTTCATATAGAAATGGAGATGTCTATCTAGTGTTTCCTTATTTTTCTGCAGGAAGGCACTAGGCTTGTTGACTTCCTCTCCCCTCCCTTCCTTCCTTCTCTCCGAAGGTACTCATCTGAAAAATGAGAACAAAGTGATTGTTCCTGTTCTCTTTCTTAAGTCACTTCAAATGCTATCCGTGGACGCGCGGCTCATTGTCAGGAGAGTTGCAGTGCGAGCAGGAGGCAGAGAAAAGCAGGTACAGGTACAACAGCAGCAGCTGCAGCAGCCGTTCAGCAAACAGCATCACAGAAAACACACTCTGCTACACTCAGCTGGTAAGTTACACACACACACATAGACTTTTGCTGCAGCCTCACAAAAACACACACTTACTTACACTGGCTGGCATATGAGGAGGGGCTTCGGGTTTTAATGGATTGTTTGGAATGCATGGTGTGGCAAAGTATCGCCCGGGGTCTCTACACAGTGCACCTTCAGTGGTAGAGGTGAAGAGGATACATGATTAAAGATCAAATCAAATCCAGGAGAGTGTTAGAAACTGACTGAACATTTCAGCATGCATCTGGAATGGTTGAAACATCTTTGTAAGAGGCACAATTATATTATTTTATTATATATTATTATTATAATACTGATTATGCATTTACATTGTGTCTCTGTAATGTGTATTTTCATAGTTTGTTGATAAAGAGTGGATTTTCTTTGTTTTTAGAGTGTGTGTGCACTGATTGCATTGAAGCCTTTTAAGTAGGTTTAAGCTGAAATGAAATGACGATGAATAACAGAATGTGAATTTGTTTGTAATCTCTGCATCTATTTTCATCTCAACATCTTCCAGAACTTTATCCTCTTAACTTGTTATCACTTGTTTTGACATGACATAAAGATGATTTAATCATAATATACTTTGAGTTAGTATTTGAAACTGGATGCATACTGAACATTACAAGAGTTGAAATAGTGGATTAATTGATCAGCCAATTGAAAATAAACTTACTCTTTTAGTCATTTTATTTAAACCTTTTTTATAAACAGGTAGCCTCATTGAGATTGGGATATCTTTTTTTAAAAGAGACCTTTCTAGAAAAAACAAACATATGCAGTTAAAGCATATAGACAGACCAATATATAAATAACAGACATATAATACATCTAAAGTTACAAACAAATCATTTCATTATCATTTCAAAATACCTATTTCTTGAACTGTATTTTTGAAAACTGCATCATTTGGATTTATTCTGGCCAAACTCATCGACGAAAGAATCTTTACTTGCAGCTTTACATACAATGCCTATGATTATATAAAGAATACTTGCAACAACCAACATAAATAAAAAAATACAACATGTAGCAGACAATAAAGTAGAACTAGCGGTCATGCTACAGTGTATTGATCTCAGCAGTTTCTCATTGATAAGCTCTAAGCTATTACAGTAATAGAATAGATACGTACAACATTGAACACACTTGATATGTCATGCAGAAGTAAGGCAGTTCCCCTCTGAGTATCATCTCCTTTTACCCATAACAGTTATCTACATTACAGTATGCACAACAAAACTGCAGTCGAGATGTTATTTATAGCTATATGACATCTAAACAGTTTTCAGTTATTTAATTGACTTCAGACTTTTGGCCGGCTCACAGTGATACCGGTGAAATCACCATGTAGCGTTATCAGTGGAGGAGAAAAGAGGAAGTTCTTCCGGGTCATCAGTTTAAAAAAGATGAACAGAGCAGAGAGAAAAGATAAGGAGAAGCGAAAATTGTATGGGAGGTAGAGGTGAGCATATCACACATAACTTCCTACTTTCAGGAGAGGAGGAGATCTGTGAGAAAGAAAGAAGTGAAAGGTTTCAGGTCGAACACTGAAAGGCGCGGGTGTCAACACACAAAACTGTTAGTGTGCCCGTTAACATTTCTTAAACAGATACCTTCAGAGAAACAGTTTCATATCCTGAATAGCAACCAGACACAAAGTCATACCTGTGTCAATTCTTTTTTTTTTAAAATGACAATTCTTTTTTTTAAGGCTAAAGCAAGATTTAATGTAAAAAGACATATTATGATATGAAATATGACAAATATAAATACAAAATATCTGATCAAATTACTTTTTGACATCGAAAGAGGTCAAATCTTATATTTCACAAGAAAGCAAAGATGCAGTCCAAACATTGAAAAATACAAATGTGTGTGTACATACATCTAAATTAAACCAACTACACTTATCTAGATTTGGAACAACAGGAATATAGATATGAAACAAATATAAAACTAGTTATATCTTCTAATTTTCAACAGTACAATTCTGCTTGCGTATTAATAAACAATCTAAAACTGTAATATATATAATATAAAATATAATGTATATTATATTAAAGGATACATGGGGCTATTTCACTGCAGAATACTTCTGAACTTTTACTAAAGCATCCTTTGAATACTGAACATGATATTGCAATATTTTTCTACTTGATAATTAACCTGAAGGCTTTGTCCTCACCATTATAACCACTTCTTTTACACCTTTTTCTTCAGGGAAAAGATGGAAACAGACCAGGGGATTTTCTCACCAGCAAGAAGTCCTTTTCTCAGAGATGAGCAAAGACAAAGGTCTCAGCACAGTTTCTATCTAAGCCCACCTCGGCTCTACATGAAGCCCCCAAAACTCTCCCCTCCCAGATACCCCAGCATATCACCCAGCAGAGACACCTACAGTGTGTTCAGCCCCCCTGCTTTCTTTCCCATGCTTGGCCCCAGTTTTGCCCAAAAGGAAGGATCCCAAAAACGCAAAAGAACTCCTTTCAAAATGGACGCCCGTGGAGCTGAATCTCCTGACAGAGGAGCAGAGGAGGCAGACGAAAGCAGCAGTAAGAAGGCGGTGCACTTGACCCACATCCCCTTCTCCTTCCCACCTCGCCCCATTCCTTCCCCATCGCCTAAGCCCATCCCTGGAATGATCGAGCTAAACAAACTGCAGCTTCATCACAGGTCACCAGGTATGAGTCTACCTGTGCAGGTGAAGCAGGAGCCTCTCAGCCCTTCCCCTGTGTGGCCTTCCTCTCCTCTCCTCCTCCACCCTCCCTACTTCCCACCTCTCCACCACAGCCTCCTCCCATACCCCTTCTTCATGCCCAGCCCAGTCATGCACTTCCCCGCTGGTTCTTTCTATCCAAGAGAGAACCCCCGCCCTGGTCATCGCGGCCGTGACGGACCTCCTCGCAGTGGGACGACCAGTGCTGAAAAGCTCGGTTTCAACGTCCATGTGGACGACAGTTATTATGTAGATGTGGGTGGAGACCAGAAGAGATGGAAGTGTCGTATGTGTGAAAAGTCCTACACCTCCAAGTACAACCTGGTCACACATATCCTGGGGCACAACGGCATCAAGCCGCATGGATGTCACCTGTGTGGGAAACTTTTTAAGCAGCTGAGTCACCTGCACACACACCTGCTTACCCACCAGGGCATGAGGCCCCACAAGTGCCAGGTGTGCCACAAGGCCTTCACTCAGACCAGCCACCTGAAGAGACACATGATGCAACACAGTGACGTCAAGCCGTACAGGTAGTTGTTCAGTTGCTTGTGCT